GGAGAATTGCTTGAACCAGGAGGCAGAGGTTGCAGTGAGGAGTTGCACCGCTGCACTCCAGCCTGGCGACAGAGCGAGACTCTGTCTAAAAAACAAAACAAAACAAAACAACAAGCTTTATTTCCCTGTGGGCTTCTCACCCACTGAAACAGGACATTTCAGGACTTTAGGTAAAAGGCAAATATTCATAGAGCAACTCAGTTACTTCTCAGCTTTGACTCAAATTTAAAAACCGCATCAAATGCAACAACACCATCAGCTTGACTATCATACTCGAGAAAGGGCCTGGGAGTGACAGCAAAGATTGCTAACTTAGTCACTAAACTTATGTATCAAGAACTAAGCCTGGACAATAAAGTTTCTTCCTTAAAAATTAAAAAAAAAGTCCTTTCACTTTTTAAAACTTTAAAAACCAATATGTCATTCTTTTTCACATTTCATGGCTATGAGGATATGATGAAGGGAAAGTGAAACCCACATCTGGGAAGCAGAAGAAGAGAGAAAAAGGGAAAGCAGAGAAGTTTAAACAAGGATTGCTACCTGCTGCTCCCTGAGGGCCAGTGTGTGTGTGTGTGTGTGTGTGTGTGTGTGTGTGTGTGTGTGTGTTGAGCGAGAGGAGAGAGAGAGAGAGAGAGAGAGAGAGAGAGAGAGAGAGAGAGAGAGAGAGACTCAGCTAGATTTGGGGAAGCCAGAGCATCTCGGGCCCCCAGGAGAACTGAAGCTGCAGGTTTGAAGCTGGGAATGTGTAACTCAGCCTGAGACAATGCTGGGCAGGCACATGAGAAGCCAGGGACTAGGTGAGCCTGAAGCAGTGGTCCTCTCCCCAAAGCCTGGCACACAGGGGAATCAGACCTCTTCGTATGCCTGAAAGGGAGGGTAGGTATGGCTCTTCTGAGTTTGCAGTGGACCAGTAGGGGCCTGGGTCAGCAGATGGGGGTCCCAAGACCAAGGACGCCAGCACCACAGGTGCCAGCTAGAGGAACGAGCAGATCATCCTCCAAGCATGGGATCAGGAGCATCTCAGCTCTCACCCAGACCGGGAAGGACACTAGTCCCTCTGTGGAGATCAGTGTGGACCCAGCAGACAAGCATGGAACATCATCCATCCCAGGGTCCTGTAAACCGGCAGTCCCCCAGCTTTTTGGCATCAGGGACTGGTTTAATGCAAAACATTTTTTTCTGCAGACAGTGGCAAAGGAATGTTTTTGGGATGAAACTGCTCCACTTCAGATAATCAGGTGTTAGACTCTCATAAGGCAGGTGCAACCCAGATCCCCCGCATGCACAGGTCACAATAGTGTTGGCCTCCTAAGAGAATCTAGTGCTGGCGCTGAGCTGACAGGAGCTGGGCTTACAGGAGCAGAGCTCAGGAGGTAATGCTTGCTTGCTCACATTACCTTCTTCTGTGAGTACCTTCTTCTGTGCAGCCCAGTTATAACAGGCCATGGACCAGTACTGGCCCAAGGCCCAGGGATTGGGGACCCCTGCTTTAAACCACATATATCCCAGTAACCCCAGAGGCCATGCTGGAGGGGAGCAGGCAGGAGAAGAAGAAGAGGAAAAGACCTCAAGGGACCCAGGATTTGTCTAAAGGAACTGTTTAAATAATGGAATTGGAATAAACTGGACTGAACTAGGTGTTTCCTCTGCCATGGCCCAAGCTGTGTCCCCTGAAAAATTCATATGCCAAACTACTTAAAAGGTGACTATATTTAGGCCAGTCATGGTGCCTCACACCTGCAATCCCAGTACTTTGGGAGGCTGAGGCAGGAGGATCACCTGGGATTGGGAGTTTGAGACTAGCTTGGCCAACATGATGAAACTCTGTGTCTACTAAAAATATAAAAATTAGCTAGGTGTGGTGGTGCATGCCTGTAATCCCAGCTACTTAGGAGGCTGAGGTAGGAGAATCACCTGAACCTGGGAGGCTGAGGTTGCAGTGAAGTGAGATTGAGATCACATCACCACACTCCAGCCTTGGAATACAGAGCAAGAGAAAGAAAAAGAAAAGAAAGAAAGGAAGAAAGAAAGGAAGAAAGAAAGAGAAAGAAAGAGAAAGAAAGAAAGAAAGAAAGAAAGAAAGAAAGAAAGAAAGAAAGAAAGAAAGAGGATTACATTTAGATAGGGCCTTTAAAGACGTGATTAAGTGAAAACGAGGTCTTTAGGGTGAGCTTTTATCCAACCTGACTGGTGTCCTTATGAGAAGAGGAAATTCAGCCACACAAATAGCAGGGATGTGTGGTTGCAGTGGAGAGATCGCCTGAAGACACAGCGAGAAGGCAGCCACTTGCAGGTCCAGGTGAGAGGCCTCAGGAGAAACCAGACCTGCTGATACATTGACCTTGGACTTCGAGCATCCAGAACTGTGAGAAAATAAATATCTGTTGTTAAAGCCACCCAGTGTGTGGTACCTCACTATGGCAGTCCCAGTGAATAAATACACTCTGCCCCCACATATCTGTTGTTAAAGCCACCCAGTGTGTGGTACCTCACTATGGCAGTCCCAGTGAATAAATACACTCTGCCCCCACCCCCAGCTGCCCCCTCCTATATCTACCCAACAGGGTGGGATCTTGAGGAAAACCAAACCTCTTAATAGAAGTATAAGGAAGCTCTATTTTTTGACTTTGCTCAAATCATTTGGAAAACAAATGTTTTACAACTTCAAAATAACAATTTTACTTATAAATAATCTGCTCTCATTTACCTAGTCATTTGAAGAAGAGGAAAGAAAATCTTCACTTATTAACCCTGGACATATTCAGAAGCCAAAAACCCCAAACTTTATTTCTTTAACATTTCTAATCTGATGGTTTTTAAAAGAGGTTAAATTAGCACAATTTATTCCAAATTAATGGAGTTCATCATATGTTCATTTCAAAGTCAGTCTTAGAGAATTCTAGTCTCATTCTCTCATTCTGTGAAACTGAAAGGTCGTATTTTTCCACTAAAAAATGCCCCTGAAATTAACCTCTGAAGTATTTCTTTACAAGCGGTATTTGAAAGTATGTTGCTTTTTTTGATCCTCATCCATACTTCTGTTTTAATATGTTAAATTTAAAAACAGAGATGAGGAATTTCCTCATGAATATTTCTACTCAGGGACAGGATTTGAAGGGAAATGAGACAGATGCAGCCAGCCCTTGGTGGGGGCCGCCCTCTGTCTTTGTTCAGGCCCAAGCCTTTCCTTCCTCGTTGTAAGTAGGACACTCGGTGCCTTCGCCGCTTGGCTCGTTCGAGCTGAACTGTACAGAACAAAACCACTGCCTCCGACAGGGACACGGAGCCTGGACACTGTGTGCTCCCGACTGCGCGTCCGTGGACACGTTTGCCAAGTGTTTAACAGTTGCAGCGGATTAAACACAACTTCCTAATGTTCACGGCTTCCTCGGGCAATCATTTCATTCATCACAGGCCCCGTCTGACAACTATTAGGATGGAGGCCAAACACCTTCCTAAATTGGTCTGAAAAGAGGCGTTTCTAAGCTCTTGCTCCTTCCTCGCAGACTAACCCACTGGCATCTCACAGCCCACCCATCAATAGCTGGAAAGCCAGACCTTGTTCTTGACCCGAGGATTCTTCCGGCTAATCACAGTCTCCCTTCGCCTTTCCAGTCCAGATCTGTCTGTCTCAGAGAATGAGTGGATTCAGCACGAGGCTCCCGGAGACATGCAAAGGCAAAAAAGAAATGAGCATTTGGACAGAACGTGTCAAGTCAATGAAGATGGCGTGGGGACGTTGGAAGGATCAGGAGGATGGTGGAGTTTCGTGGGGTCTGGGCAGGACAGCGGGTCATCTATGGTAGGAAGAGGCAGCTGTGATTCTCTTCCTTTTAAATCTATTGCTCTTCCAAAAACAAGAGTCTCTGTTAGTGGTCAAGAATCCCAAAATGCAGGCCGGGCGCTGTGGCTCACGCCTGTAATCCCAGCACTTTGGGAGGCTGAGGCAGGTGGATCATGAGGTCAGAAGTTTAAGACCAGCCTGGTCAACATAGTGAAACCCCATCTCTACTAAAAATACAAAAAAAAAAAAAAAAAATAGCTAGGCGTTGTGGTGGGTGCCTGTAATCTCAGGAACTCTGGAGGCTGAGCCAGGAGAATCACTTGCACCCAGGAGGCAGAGACTGCAGTGAGCCAAGACTGTGCCTTTGCACTCCAGCCCGGGTGACAGTGCAAGACTGTCTCAGAAAAAAAAAAAAAAAAAAAAAGGAATCCCAGAAACCCGTGATAAAAATTGCTATGTCACTTTTGGAAGACATCCTTTTTCTCTTTACAAAATAAAGATTCTCTATCCTCTTCCTCCTCCTCCTTCAGTAAAATGTTATGTCTGAGCATGGTCAAAATTCAAGAGGTATAAAAATAAATACCGTAAACCAGTATTTTTTTAAATGCGGAAATACTTCCCTTAAAGCATAAAGTACAGAAACATTATATTTAAAAAATGCCATCTTTATCCTCAATTCTCCCTCTGAAGACAGTTTATTACCAGTTGAGTGTGTCTACTTCCAGAGATATGTTATTGGGTTGTGCAAAAGTAACTGCGGTTTTTGCCATTAAAAGTAATTGCAAAAACCGCAATAACTTTTGCACCAACCTAATGTATGTAAGTATATTCTGACATGTTATTTTGAGCTCCCCAGAAACAAAACAAGATTTGCAACCCGGTAAAAGACCATCCTGGTGTTCCGAAGGAGAAACTCGAGGTCATGATGTGGATTATGTAAGGCCATAAGGCTCCCTCCCAGATATTTTGATCCCTGCAGAATTCTTTATGGGATTGTCCTGTTTTTTATCCATGGGTCAGAAGACACATCCATCTCTGACTAGGCAGAATAAAATAAAATCTTAATCAGACGGTTTCCAAGTCTAAATTGTGGGGCACAAACAAGTCAATTATTTTGCCAGCAGCACCTACAAGGAATCCATCTTTTGTCTACAAATGCAAGTCAGTGTTTTCGTCAACTCCGGCCGCTATGATAAAATACCATAGACTGGATGTCTCGAACAACAGGTTTATTTTCTCACAGGTCTGGAGACCAGAAGTTCAAGATCAAGGTGCTGGCAGGGCTGCTTTCTGGTGAGGCCTCTCCTCCTGGCTTGCAGACCACCACCTTCTCATCCTGTCCTCACGTGGACTTGGAATTTCCTGTGTGCATGAGAGGATAGAGAGAGAGAAAGAGAGAGACAAAGAGAGGGAGCTCTCTGTCTCATTTCTTTTAAGGACACTAATTCTGTCAGGTCAGAGACTGACTCTTGTGACCCCATTTAACCTTAATTACCTCCGTAAGACCCGATCTCCAGATACAGAAGGTCTCCAACTTACAGTGGTTCCACTTATGATTTTTTGACCTCATAATGGTGGGAAAGATCCAAGTTCAGTAGAGACATACTTCAGTGCCCATACACGCATTCCACTTTTCACTTTCAGTACAGTATTCAATACATTACACAAAATATTCAACACTATTATAAAACAGGCTTTGTGTTAGATGATTCACCCAACGGTACAGTAGGAGAATGAAAGTAATCTGAGCAGTTTTTTTTTTTTTTTTTTTTGAGATGGAGTCTCCCCCTGTTGCCAGGCTGGAGTGCAGTGGCATGATCTCGGCTCACTGCAGCCTCCACCTCCCAGGTTCAAGTGATTCTCCTGCCTCAGCCTCCTGAGTAGCTGTGACTATAGGCACGTGCCACCACGCCTAGCTAATTTCTTTTGTATTTTTAGCAGAGACAGGATTTCGCCACATTAGCCAGGATGGCTTCGATCTCTTGACCTCATGATCTGCCCACCTCGGCCTCCCAAAGTACTGGGATTACAGACGTGAGCCAGTGCGCCCGTCCTCTGAGCAGCTTTAAGGTTGGTGAGGCTAAACTGACATGCAGTAGATTATGAGTACTAAATGCATTTTTGACTTAAACATTTTCAGTGTATGATGGGTTTATCAGATTATAACCACTTCTAAAATTGAGGAGCACCTATATAATCAAATCAGGGGTTAGGGCTTCAACATATGAATTTGGCAGGGGTGGAGGAAGAACACAACTTAGTTCATAACAGTCAGCAGCATTGATAACTATTTTAATAAAATGATAATGGCTACTATGTAAGTGTCAGGCAATGTACAGCATGCTTTATGCATATTACTTAGAGTCCTCAAAACACCTCCATGAAATGGACATTCTTATCACCAGAATGATTGAAACTAGAAATATTTGACAAGTGGTATGAGTTGAGCACTGACTAGTCAGAATGAACACCAGCTATAAACAACCTGGCTGTTGTTCCAGTGCATGCTGGCCAAAGATGAGCCCCAAATAATCGAGTTGCTCAGGTAAAGAAGGAGGGGACTGGAGAGGAGAAGGGAACTAGACAAGCCCCCGCAGCCAGCAAAGGGTCGAGCAGGGACACGTCTGTCTTACTCAACATTATTTTGCCTCTCCGCTACCTTGCCGGGAGCTATCTGTGGGAGATCCCCATATTTCTCTACTTTGGTCAGTCTTTGAGTGTTTTGAGTTATTTCCATCATGTTCATAACTCAACGACTGCACCTGCCATGGCAGAGGCTGGTTTGGGATTGAGTCAATTTGGCCACTGACTCCTCTCTGAATAGACCTAGACCCTGGTGGCAGGGGATCGTCTTTGCTGTCCATGCTGGCTCACAGTTGACACTATTGCAGTGTTTCTGTATCTGGGTCTTTGCATTGGGCCAAGCTGTCTTTTTCCAGGAGACACATCTGAGTCTTTGGGATCATTTGCCTTCTTCCATGAATTTGACCTCTACTGTCAATCTAGATTCAGGTGTGCGCTGACTCACCATACCCATTACTTGCTGCCTTTGTTCCCTAACCTGACCTGATCTTGGGGCTCAGGCTACAGCCTGCTTTTCCATCACAAAGTACCCAAACACCACACACAGCGCTGTCTGTGTGCCCCCTTTCCCTGCCAGATTCTTTTTTTGTGCTACTTCGATCTCAGCTGCGGACACTTTCCTCCAAAGACCTTTTAATTCCCTCCCCGATGAGGTCCTCTTCCCATTCTAAGTGCCCCTCATTCTTTCTCTCTCTTTCTTATGTTTTTTCTTTTTGTTTGTTTTTGTTTTTTGAGACAGAGTTTCTCTCTGTCACCCAGGATGGAGTGCAGTGGTGCGATCTTACCTCACTCCAACCTCTGCCTCGTGGGTTCAAACGATTCTCCTGTCTCAGCCTCCCAAGTACCTGGGATTGCAGGTACACGCCACCATGCCTGGCTAATTTTGTTTTTTCTTTCTTCCATGTTCGTCCTTTTCTTCTTCTTCTTTTTCTTTTCCTTCTATTTTAAAATTGTGTTAGCACATACCCAAAGAGTGGCCTTCACTTGGTATTTGGGACTTAGGAACATCCTTGTCTCCTGGGCTGTGAGGGGCAGAGTGTATCTGTGGGACATTCTATAAACCTCTCTGTCAGTCAGTGACACCTACAAGCAAACAGAATTAGGTCATTTACAAGGCACCTTCATTAAAGATTAAAAAGCAACCTTGCCTATCCCAAATTTTACCACACTTCCCCCCAAATGTCACCTTGTCCAGAGGGAAAGAGAAACACTGTGTGACTGGAAAACCTGCTATCATATTCAAACCTGGACCAGCTCCACTTCTTCAAAAAAAGTTCTACTGTGCAAACTATTCTATGGCCCTACATCCTGCTGTGCTCATGTTACTAGAATAAATATTTGTAGTACAAGCAGAACTTGTTCTGAGGATAAATCCAAAGGATACTTGGCATTTTGACAAATGAAAAGCCAGTTTTTAGCTGCCCTTTGATACACACTGGATGTTGCGTTTTCTTTTCTGGGTTATGTGTTATGTACAAATTCTCGCCACTCTTTGACAAGAACTTGTAATGGCAAATCGCCTTTTGACAGTGATTCTAGAGAGACTTCCTGTCTCCAGAAAGTATCCCTTTAAGGCTCCAAAGGTCTCAGTCTCAGGGTGATGTCCTGGACACTTTTCTTTTGCACCGTAAATGAAATGACAGTGAAGATGTCAGTCTCACCATGTTGTAAAACTGTCTGTTTCTTGGACTGTTACTAGTCCCAGGAACAGAAAGGCATGATGTTCACAACCGAAACTTGCTCATGGGGCCCTGCTGTGTGTCCTCATGCCTGAGAATTGCTCTGAGGAGGGACTCATTTTCCACATTTGCACTGCAGAAGTCAAAACTCGGTGATCAAGGGACATCCTGGAAAAGTCAGTATAGATCCTGAACCAAAAACCCAGAAGTGATTCTGGGCTGCTGCCCAAGAGCTAACATGCATTCATTTGTTCATCACTCAGCAAATATTTACTAAGTACCATCTCTCTTGTAAACTCTGTACTGTAGAGTCAGAGTCAGTATAGATCCTGAACCAGGCCTCACAGAGCTGACCGTTCCCATGGCTCTTTGCAGTGAATTATCATCCTGGGCACTGATGGGCAGTGGTGGGAGCCTGCTGAGCCAGAGGGACAATGAGCTGCTCTGACAATACCCAGTACTCAAGGTTCTCCAAGGAGCCTCCCCTGCTGCACCTGAAACACTTCAGATGAACTGCAGCTTTTGAAATATCCTCTTCATGTGTCAAAGGAATTATGGATTTTTTTCCGACAGTATAAAGAAAAAAAACAGGAGCCCGACAAGCAGGACATATACCTAAGGTGAAGGGGAAGGCTGTCTAGGGTCCACACTTGAGAAATCATTTTTTTAAATGTTTAATCTTGTTAGGACGGACTTCTGTGACTGCTGCCAGGGTCTCTGAACTCTCAGCAAATAAATACAGATGATATTTATCTGCTCAAGTTAATGCTATTGTAATAAATGTGAAAGGGTCACTATCTTTCCCCCAAGCTTCCTCCTCCTTCAAAATAAGCTTTCCTGCAGCTTGTCTTCTTCGGCTCTAGGAGACAAAGCCACGAAGTCTTTATTCCTTTTGAACTTGATGCCATCTGCCTTCGGCAAAAATTGCCCTAGTATTGTTTTTGAAGGAAATAACTTGAAAACTTTAAAAGTCAGTTCTGGCCTTGTATTTTATTTTAGTTTTTAGAAAAAGCTCTAGCTATTCAATGACCAACTTACTGCCTATTACTTTATCATTTACTTGCTTTAAAGTAAATCATGTGTCAAATCACGATGTTTTGCTCAAAGATGGAGCTCATGTATGTATACAGTATAGTCCCGTCAGATTATAATGGCGCTGCCCTAAATAGGTGTGCCATTTAAAAAATGTTTATATTGGGCCAGGCGCGGTGGCTCACACCTGTAATCCCAGACCTTTGGGAGGCCAAGGTGGGTGGATTACTTGAGGCCAGGAGTTCGAGACTAGCTTGGCCAACATGGTTTAAACTCCATCTCTAAAAAAAAAAAAAAGAAAAAAAAAGTTTATATTGTACTTTTACTGTACCTTTTCTACATTTAGTTCCACAAATACTAACCATTGTGTTTTAATTGCCCAAGGTATTCTGTACAATCACATGTTACACAGGATTTGTAGCCAGGAGCAATAGGCTCTGCTATACAGCCTGTGTGTAGTAGGTTATACTACCTAGGGTTGTATGAGTACATCTGTGACATTCAAATAACAACAAAATTGCCTAATGACACATTTCTCAGAATGTGTCCTTATTAAGTGACACTTGATGGCAATGATGATTCTTAAAAGACAGGGGAAGAGAATGATGAATGACGTATTTTAACTCCAGTGATTAAAACACAATAAACTTCCTATTTCTGAGTGGCACTCAGAAAAATGATTTCTCCTTTTCTTTTTTATTATTCCAATATTCTTTTTCTGTTTTTGAGATGGAGTCTTGTTCTGTCACCCAGGCTGGAGTACAGTGGCACGATCTTGGCTTATTGTAACCTCTACCTCCCAGGTACAAGGGATTCTTTTGCCTCAGTCTCCTGAGTAGCTGGGACTATGGGCATGTGCCACCACACCCGGCTACTTTTTGTATTTTTAGTAGAGACAAGGTTTCACCATATTAGCAAGCTTCTCTTGAACTGTTGATCTTAACTGATCCACCCTCCTCGGCCTCCTAAAGTACTGAGATTATAGGCATGAGCCACCACACCCAGCCTTATTTTTCCAATTTTCTAGACAATATTTAAAGAATGGAGTGGATCGGTATGCTAAAATCCCAGCTTATCTACTGCCCAGAAAATACCCTTTAGTTGATGCAATGAGAGATGAACCAACTATGTTGACAGGTGACCCAGACTTCCAGCTACCTCTGCTTTCTTTTCCTGGGTCATGGGGAGATTTGAGATAAGTATGCAGCTTTGAAGGTGTAGGTGTGGCCCAGATGTAACTCTTTGAATCCGCGTTCCCTTTAACGTGACAGGTCAGCTGCTCCTTTTAGACCTGACCTACCACTTGCTTGGAGAATACTTTAGCCAGAAGCCACTTGGTTACAGTGGGAATCTCTTTGAGGTGCACAAATGTTCTTGGCCTGAATCCCAATCCCAGGAGCCTCAGGTGTGAGGTGAGACTGGGTGTCAGGTAGGATGGGCCCCATAGCCTAAGGAAACCTACTGGCATTCATTCTAGGTTCACATTCAACTGGAGCCAGAACCTTAAAGGGAGCCATTTTACCAAGCTCTAGACATGAACACTCTGCACATTGACACTGACAACATAGCTTTGAGTTCGGTTCCCTCCTGAAGTTGTTGGCATATTGCTGTTCATAGAAAAATTCTTTTCTGCCATATACTTCAGGATTTCCCATTTCCAAATTCAGACAACATTCTGCTATAACAAAGTTATTTTAGGATTAATTGCCTGACGTTGCAAATGTAATTTTGGAAATCGTATCACTATACCAAAGAGATTGAGTTCTTCTAACACTAAGAGGATATTTCTTATAGGTCTTATAGGTTGTTACCTATGTGCAATTTTGTAATTACTTTCTGAAGGTTTTTATCACAGTAACTAAGAGAAATTTGTTGTTTTTATTGCTCAAGGAAGGATTCAGGAGCTTATTTAAAGAGAAACACAAAATAGTTTCCTAACTGGTACATCTGTAAGGGTACACATAAGCTGGTTTGGAAGCATCCAATCTGGAAATTTGCCTCTGCACTGTTTTCTTGGTGAGAGATGTGGATAGAAAAGGGAGGTGATAAAAAAGGAGTAGAGGGGTAAAATGCAACTCCACACACAGGCAGTCAACTCCAATAGGACTGGAATGTCCTCACGATTCTGCCGTTTAACTCACGCACTCTGCTGATCATGATGTGTGGCTGTTCTCTTCCTGAAAGGAGGCAACGCATACAGACAAACGTTCATTGTACCCTTGCTCTGTGGAAGCCATGTGCTACATAAACTCGTAGGGGGAAGACAAGGGAATATAAGAAACAGTCTTGAAGCCATTGATTTAGCAGGAGTGATGTTAAACACCATTAAAGACAGCAGGGCAGCCTGGGCAACATGGCGCAACCCCATCTCTACAAAAAATGCAATAATTAGCCAGTCATGGTGGTATTCACCCATAGTCCCAGCTACTTGGGAGGTTGAGGTGGGACCTCTTGAGCCCAGGAGATTGAGGCTGCAGTGAGTTGTGATCGTGCCACTGCACTCCAGCCTGGGCAACAGAGCAAGACTCTGTCTCAGAGAGAGAGAGAGAGAGAGAGAGAGAGAGAGAAAGGGTGGGGTGGGGTGGGGGGGAGAGAGAGAGAGAGAGAGAGAGAAGATAATGTGGACGTCAGTATAGTGTTTTGGTACCCGTTCCCTTCAAAACTGCTCCTTGGGGCTGGATGCAGTGACTCATGCCGGTAATCCCAGCACTTTGGGAGTCTGAGGCAGGCAGATCACGAGGTCAGGAGATCAAGACCATCCTAGCCAACATGGTGAAATCCTGTCTCTACTAAAATACAAAAAATTAACTGGACGTGGCGGCACTCCTATAGTCCCAGCTACTCAGGAGGCTGAGGCAGGCGAATCACTTGAACCTTAGAGGTGGAGGTTGCAGTGAGCCTAGACTGCACCACTGCACTCCAGCCTGGCTACAGAGCAAGACTCCAGCTCAAAAACAAAAAACAAACAAAAAAATGCTCTTTGGGCTTCCGACATGTGCTTAAATGAATGGGAATTAACTGACTAGTTAGTTCCAAAGTATTGAGGACCCCTTCTCCTTGGCAACAGAGCAAGAATCTGAGAAAAAGAGAGAGAGAGAGAAGAAAGAGAAGAGAGAGAGAGGTTCTTCCTTCCACAAGCAGCACTTGGCCCCTGGAAGCCCAAGCAGGGATTCCCTCACCTGCCTTCCTATTCCCCATTGGATGGCTGGACACACGGAGGAAGGAGATTCCAAGTCCTTGTCTCTAACAGTTTCAGAACAAGTAGTTGGACCAGAGAACCCACAGTTCAGAAGGCAGGGAAAACCAGAAGAATTTTGCTCACTGCTACGTTCCCAGGGCCAAGTGTTGAGTAGAAACTCAACAGAGCTGACTGAATGAATGATTGAATGGAGCATGACACAGAGTAAGAATTTCTGTTTGTACTTTATGCACCTAAGGGAGTGGATTCCTGAAAGAAGGAATTCAGGAGTGGATAC